ATGAATGCCTCGTTTATAATGGGTTTTTAATGTTTTTGTCTCGTCGCTCCGGCCGGACACGGTATGTGAGGGGCGTAACATTTCCGTCTCACGCTTGAGGTATTCGGCCAATCACAACGCACTGGATAGCTGGCCAATCAGAGCACACCTCGCTTTTTCAGACCGATGAGCTTTGTAAAAATCGACGCGTTTCAGAAAGGCGGGGCATAGAGGAGAAACAATAATGTACAGTATGTGGAAAATAATGTGTTTTTTGAACCTTAAACCGCATAAACATTTCATTACACCAAATACTGTTCTTTTTAGCAGCATCATATGACCCCTTTAAAAAAACAAAATAACCATCATGGGAAAATTATGTCGGTTAGAGGTTCTGAATTTCGGTTTCGATTAATTGTCCAGCTCTTTATAAAAGGCACTACAGCTCTGCCCTCAACAAAGAACAGCAGACTGGCATAACAATTTGTCATGTGACACAAATCTGGTCTGTGGTTGTTTCAGCCACAACCTGCTGAACAATGAGCACTGTACAATAACGAAGCTTACTTGTGTGTAGAATCCACTAGCTGCCTCAAGAAACAGGGAGAGATTGGCCTGAACTTCACTTCGATTGGGATTGGCCCTGTTCTTAGCTTGACTCTGTAGTGTGGTTATTTGATTCTTAAAAGCATGGTTCCACCTAAAACAAAAGTGAGACAAGATGATAGTCAATCAGATATTTTCAACAAAATACACAAAATCAAGGATTTCTGCATGTCCATTATACATAGCATTAGGCCTATTATTATTGGTATTCTTACAGATCTTGTTCCACTTTCTTGTCCAGGGCGTACTCCAGGTCTGTAACCAGCATTTTCTGGTACAAGTCCTGAAGAGCCTGCCTTGATGTCCAGACCTCCGCGGCACCAAGCTTTGAATCTGCATGACACAAGGAGTGGAACATGTTAAACAGCTAACGCTGCAGCCGCACTGTAGAACGTGACTGAGTCTAACAGCGCCTTTCTGTTAATTTGGAGAAAGATCTGCACATCTTAGTAACCACATTCAATGCCATGGTTACCAGAGTGACAGGGATAAGATGACAAATACGAAATACAGCAATAGACTCCAAGCAACCTCATACATCACATCAATAATTCTAATAATATGTGCAACTTATAACCACCGCAGTCATATTATCAATATTTTAAAGATGAAACATTTGATAAACACATCTAAATACCATGCTAAGACACTAAAATACATGTTTAAAGTCCTAACTAAATAGACTAAACTAGCACATACCTGTCATGTCAGCCTTCAGGGCCTCTGCCTGCCTGCTCAAAACAAGAAATTAATATGTTAATGTGGAGATGATTGAAGAGAGAATCATTGGGCAAGGTCTGGTGAACACAGCTCTGGAATGAACACGAAAGCATTGCAGTTCAGGGCTTCATTATTATATATTCTCAAACTCAAGTACATTTTGGACATAATTTTTTGTATTTGTCAAACACATAGTTCAAGTGATACAGACATAGGCAGCAAATTTAAGGCAATACTATTGGTTTAATTAACAATATTGCCAATAAGGACTTCTTGTGATGTTAGATATTTTAGTGGTCACTGGTAAGTAGACTATGTATGATTACACTACATACATAATTACATTTCAGGTAGGGTTACTGACAAGATGCGCGTTAAATATCGCATGCGATTTATCGTGCAGCCCTAATTTCAGGGCTCAATTTTTTTTTGTCTGCAAAAATGTGCTAATATAAATATTTAGATACTTGCCCTGTCAACATTTTCAATGCTTCAAAAATTATTTAATTAGACATCATTTAGTCGCCCAGAGTGAAGATTTAGTCGCATATGCGAGTGATTTACTCGCAATGTAGAGGGTTGGATATAGACTTTTCTTTCACCACTCCGTCATAGAATTGTTAATGAAATCTTTGCTAGGGCTGTCACGATTATGAAATTTGGCTGACGATTAATTGTCTAAAAATGGTCACGGTTATTGATGAACTGAAAAATATCACAGATCGCTTGACGGAGAGTGAAACTCTGAAGCGCTCAGTCAGAGTGTTCTGTAAGTGAAAATATATCTGTGCTAATCATATACTCAGCCTCCAACTTGAGTTATTATTTTGCAGTGTAAGATTACATAGAGTATTCCAAATTTTAAGAATTGGCCAATACCGATCCAACACCAGCGCTACTTTTTGTCTACACCACTACGGACTATCAATACTGTGTTTGTGGAATCATCTTGGAGAGAGAGTTTTACCATGCTGACTGTCATAACTGAACGTGACGTGCTGTTTGAATGCTGAACGGAGGATGACTGACAGCTGCAGCAGAAGGAAGATGAGTTTCTGTAAACCTAAATTCTGTCCCTCACATTAAGATATGGAATGGCTTCAGATGATATAGCACGGCTCCAGATTGCGACCATTTTTTCTGCCTGAGCGACTAAATTTTGTGTGAGGTCGCACTGGCGATATACTCGCCGCGTCAGCACGAGCGCGAAGATTATGCGCATATTGAGGAAACGATGGATGGTTTTCAAGCGAAAGTCAAGTAAAAGACCGCTTCTTAAACCAGAGAAAGTGAACATGCTGGTATTCTTGTGGGGGGAAAAACATGAAAGCAAGCACTGTCACCGTTAGTTTTACTTTTTGTGTTCATTTTTGAAAAACTTATCTTTGCTGTTTACCTTAAGCTATGGAGGCTCTCTTTTATTTATTTATTTGATTCCTCAGTGTTTGCTAAACGTTCTGTAATTTATTAGTCGGTATATAATACAAAGTTCATCAGCATGCATTGAATAATCCCATGTTGTAGCGCCAAAAAAAAATATTGCGAGCAAATCATGTGCTTGTGCAGCCAGCTGAGAAAGTTAGTTGCAAAAGAGGGACCAGTGGGAAGAATGAGTCTGGAGCCCTGTATAGGCTATACAGTGCATGAAAAGCAAACTGGTGCTCTTCTGTTTCTTTTGGTGTATGACTCCCCGTTGTGTCGTATAAAAAGCACAATAATCAATTAATCGCGATTAGACGGTTATTTAATTATCGCGACAGACCTAATCTTTGCATCATCAAAATTCCTTGCTTACATTAACACACACCTCTAATATGATTTTTGGTAATCTGAACAGCCACACACTCACACACAAAATAATAATTACATGAGGTGCCAAATTTAAATAGCAAAACTATTTAATAAAATCCCTCGACACACCTTATTATTATTCAATACTATGGTAAAAAGGCACAATAAGAAACATGTTGAATAAGTAACTTAGTAACTTGTTTATTATTACTTCCTTGAAGGGTAGACATTTTTAATAAGCAAAAATATTACCTCATTTAGTCATAATACATTTTTAAAAACTACATGTGTAATCATTTTTGGGGAACTTGAAAAATGTTTTTTTTTTTTTAAGTACCTGACTAATGTTGTCAAGCCACTGTCCAAACATGTGGGATTGCATACTAAATGAACGCCAGGTCAAAACAGGCAGAAACCACACACCTGGATCAGGTTGAATATTGTTATCCAAGCTCTAGATGATGCTTCAGATTACATTAAAGCATAACAACATACAGCTATTCTGTTGTCCTCATGTCAGCAAGTATAAACCAGAGTACTGAAATCATGTTCTCAACTCACTGTCAGTTCGGAGTAGAAATGTGCAATCTGACAGTCATCACAGCACCATCATTCCTTCACAACCCTCAACAACAAACACATCTATTCGGCACACTGCTGACAACCGTTCACGTTCAAATGGCCTGGATTTGTCATTACCAGCCACTAATTTCATTTACAAACTCCCTCGGTCGATTCATGTCACACTGTTTTGAACCAACTCAAGGTTACTGAAGCATGTCAGATGCAAAAACACTGACTTGCATCTGTGTTTTTGACATTCACACAGAAAAGGTCTCAAAAAGTCTAAAGAAAACTCTTACGAAATTCATGTTGATTTTGTTCCGAATCTATATGTTATCTGTCTAAATCGATACGTGCTACAGCTAAAACGATCGAGCGACACGACTAAAACAAGGTCAAACACACTTGTCAACCACATAACAAACATAAAATAACATAACAGCTTTATTATAGCGTATTACACCAGTTCACTGTCACCATTGGCTCATCACTGTAATATATTATTCAACCTGAAATGAAAGGAAAAGGAAACCTGTGTACAGCAGATACGCAACAAATGAAGCCTTGTTTTTTAGGTAACTTTGATTTTAAAGATGATTAGTCACCCGAAGCTTTAATGTGACTAATGTAGCGAGCATGTGTGACTGGACTGTTTTCTGACTTCATCCAGTGGTATGTTTGTAGCTAACGCGCGCTAACACAGCACAGCACCTAGCATGCCCTCCCACAACAGCTATGTAACGTTACACATGAATTATCGTTGCATCAAGAAAATGTCGCGATTTGCCCAATCGCCCATCTATCAATCCTTTTTGCAATATTTGGGGCAAAATGTCAGCCGCTTCTGCCTGTATTCAGTTTTGTGTCTCGTTTACAGCCTAACATTCTAACTAGCCTAGCGTCTAGCACTGCCAGCCAATGGTAGCCGAGCAACATTCCGATAAACCACATTCGGCCTCAACGATAGAAACACGAACTCGGTCGCCAATTCGAGCCTGAGAATCTCCGGATTTTACTCACCGTAAGTATTGGGCGCAGAGGTTCATCCTGTCAAATCGCCAGTCTTTTAGACAACGACAGGTTCACAAGCTAAATCTACTCCCGGCGCCATATTGTTCATCACATCGTCATTGGTAGAAAACGGTCCAGACGTACACACAGGAGCGCGCTGAACTACGTCACAGACCCCGCCCCCTCGCTTTTCATAGCTTGTCCAAATCCAGACTGTGCATCGTAGCAAGGCTAAATACTTTAAAGGGTCCAACCAGTTTGACCTCTTATACTAATTTTTGTTGGCCTATCAACGGGGTAGTATAATTCTAGTGTGCTACACTGCAAGCAATACAAATCTGCTACTGTTATGAAACGTTTCCTGCTAAGTTTTAACATCCAATATATATTTTAAAGCGCAATCTCGGTCTAAAAACGAAAAAAAGTGTGTCAAATAAAAGACTGGTACGCAGGGTTGCCAGATCTGCATAACAAAACCCAGCCCACAAATTAAACAGCCACAAAATTCTGTCCCCCTTTTCCCCGGTTGTGATGCCCCTGGTTGCAGGCATACTCAACACATTTGACAAGGATATTTATCAAAAAGAAAGCTCACCAACTTTCTTGTGTCAAATTATCTGATACCCTTGCAATATGCAGTCATGCTTCTGGTCCTTTATGTTCTGAGGGCTCTGATGGGTTTTATGAGTAAAGAAGGACTAACAATCCCCAATGGTTGCATTTGCTTATAGAGAGAAAAAAACTGCATAACATCTCAAATATATAATGATTTGTTAAACTGAGTTGTTTTCACCATTTGAAACATGTTTGAGAGCTTTAGAGAGCTTGTTTTGCAATTGATGAGTCACACTGTGACTATAGTGCTTGCATATTCAAATGCCTGTCATCAAGGATGGTGTTCGTTGTGCTGATAAACACATCACTGATGCCATGCCAAATATGTGAGGAAAAATGTTAAATCTAATCATTTAAAAGACTTCAACTAAGGCTGAACTAAGAAAAAATGCCATTGATTCAAAACTGCACACGAGTGTAAATTTCTATACTTGCCATCAACTAATTCATTACATTTATTCATTGACTGTAGCAGACGCTATTATCCAAAGCGACTTACAGATGCGAATAATACGAGCAGAAGTGATTAATCCAAGCAGCTCTGTTCAGCAGCTGGACTTTTAATTACATTTGCATAATATATTGGACAGCATTTACTGCTGACTAGTTATGATTGGTTTTGAGAATAGTCTAAGAGAGACAAATCCAGTGAGGCTCTGTTCAAATGGATCCATGATTCACACCTTGCAGCTGTAGGACCTTTTGTTTGAGACAGAGGTAGCCAGTGTTAATGAGGGCCACTGGCTTGCCTCTCTTGACTGCTTGTCTGCACGTGTGTATTGAATTTATTTTTAGTGTTGACAAACATGGGGTGCAAATGCGGTCTACCCACAGGGGATACCAATCTGCTGCACACTCTAAAAAAAGTCAGTAAAAACAAGGCACAACTTGTTAAAGGAATTTTCCATATTGATTTTTTTCATACAGTTTTACTGTATTTTGAATTATGCATTGTTGTGTTTTAGGGTCAAAAGGATATGTCTGTAAACTTAACAGCTAATGTCCTGGTAGAAAATGAACACACCTTTTCCGTTTTTCTTCAGACGTTTTCTTACAATGTACTGACATTGATAAATTATCTTTTTTTTTTTTTTTTTGCAGTTGTGTGGGATGACTGCATGATTATAAAAGGAACGCTGTGCAGCTGTTCAGAAACGCCTGTTTGTGTCCATTTTTGGCATACAGTCTTATATGTGTCTCACCCAATTATGGGCCTCTGCTAATATTTTTTTCAAAAGGTTCATTTTTGGAATTTTCTGGCTTTTAGGCATACACATCACAGTACAACACTCTCAGTTTGATTCTGTGACACTTTTAGTTAATCTAAAAGTATTTTCAAACAGCTATTTGGCCTTTATCTAGATGTAAAGCTGTGCAATAACAATAATCACATTTAAATATATTTTCACCTGGAAAAGCACATATTTATATTATAATATATTAATTTATTAATTAAATTAAAAAAATACAATTATTTATTAATTTGCTACTATTTATTTATTTTATTTATTTAGTCATTTATCAGACTATTATATTATATTATATTATATTATATATTTATTTACTACAAACCAAAACCCTGATTTGTGTGGTTTTGTTATTTGTGGGATAAACATAATGCAATGAAATCAAAAGGAAATCCATAAAGGATTAATAATGCAATTTTGTGGTCCAATTAATAAATTTTGCCTAAATTTATAAATAAATCAATTGTACATTATACATATTATTTCCTTTTTTAAATTAATATTAATTTATTTATAATGCATCTGCAATAACAAACTCTGATTTGTGTGATTTTGTAATTTTATAGAAATAAACATAATGCAATGAAATCAAAATCAAAAGTCATGTTTAATGGGCAGTAGGGTTGCAAGTAGTACAATTGCAAACGTCTCTAGATGTCTGTGAAAAAAATAGCCTATGCAAAACAATTTTTTGCAGTAATTTTATTAATTTATTTTCTGATCTGTCATATGATCTTTTGATATCTGAAAATGTTTGTAATGTAAAGTGACCACTAAAATAAGAAGCACTAAAAGAATCGGAATCGTTAAGAGGAGTCATTAAGATGAATCGGAACTGAAAGCCCTGTTCCTTTAAGTGCGCAGGGATGGATCACAGTGACGCTCTGCCTCTCGCGCCTGCCGCAGCCTAATGAACCTCGCCTCTTGCTGCGGTCTCACAACAAAACAAAAGGCATTCAAATCCGCGACATATGTTAAAAAACGATAGATCACCACAACCAAAATGACGGAGACCAATAAAACGCATGTCATTTTGCTGTCATGTGGAAGTTTCAACCCCATCACGAAGGGACACATTCATATGTTCGGTGAGTATTTCGCCTATTCTGGATGGAGTGGATGCGCGAGCTGATTTTTAATTCAGCCTTGTGTTGAATGTGTATGTAAAGGGATTCATGGTGACCGTGATGATTTCAGACATCGTGATGTCACGCTTGATGATCGATTAGATGTTTCTGTAATAAATTCTTATTGTCGTTCGCTGTCCAAAGCGAAGGTGCTGAAATGGGCGACGGCCGCAAAAGCCCTGAATGATCAAATCATCTCTCGGTTCAGACGATGGTGCTGCGCAGCCGCAGGTTTAGCAAAGAAATCTCTATATTCATCCACTGTTTTGCGGACGCAAGCAATATAAAACTATGATTTATGATATTTCAACATAATTAATCATTACTTCTGCGAATGATACTTGGCATGCTAGAGCGCTTATGTGAAGACAAATAACAATCAACACTGTACATTTAACGTAATGTGATATGAATATGCACGTTGAAACTCTACTTTATATACCGACCTTCTTGCGGCATCTAGGACATTAAGGAGTTTTTGATATTAATTTAGGCCTATGGCAAGTGAAATATATTTAGGGCTAGGTTTAATTCATGCATTTAAATGTTTGCATCCTTTTAACGTCTCAAAATAATTTGTCATGTTGATTTTATACGTTTTCAGAGATTCAACTTGACTTTCTTCTTTGTTCTTAATAGTCCAAAGTGGGTGAGATTGTAATGAATGTATCACTATTAGTTTCAGTCATTAGTCTTCATTTTACTTTAAAAGAAGGCAGTAATTAAACATTCAGTTCAATATTCAATTCAGCATTGGGATGAATGTTTTATACCTTTATACCACAATAAAATATATTGAACTATATATATATATATTGAAATATATGTGAAAGCATGAAAACCAGTAAAACTATTATTTTATAATTAAAATTATTAGGACAGAAAGTCACTGCTCCATAAACATTTATGACCAAAACCAAAAGACTTTTAATAAGGCCACCCTGTGTAGTTAAAAGTAAAATGACCACATAAATGATCCTGTATATAGTCTTTTAAGCCCTTATGTTTCATTTGGGGGGCCCTGGGGTATTTCTCAGAAATAATTAGTTTAATACTTCATGACTTCAAAATTATAAACAAAATTTCAGCTTGATTTATCCTCCAACAAATACTGATATGTGACCCATGTTTTAGGTGTAAACATGAATAAATGCAATGAATTTTCACAAGTTGTTTCACGTGTTCTTTTTCTCAGTACACCACTGTCTGATGTTTATTTTGATTTGTTTCATTGTGTTTTCTATAATGACAGAATATTGACAGAATGTTAAGAATTTGTTGGAAAAATGCATATCTACTTTGTTATAAAACTTTGCCTATGGGTTTGATTAGGTCAGAGGAACGTGTTCAACAAATATGAATTTGCATATTAAAAAAAAAGTCAAGTAAATCTCAAAAGAACACAAGGGTTTACTGAAAATATGCATTTATACCATCATACTGTATGTGATAGAAACTTAAGAGTGCATGTGGGAAAGGAAGAGACACTCAGAGAGAGAGAGAGATTTCTTCCATCGGCTCGTCCATCTCCACATTTCAGTGTGCCAATAAATATACCAGGGGGAAAAAACTTAGGAGCTTTGTAGTTTCCTTAATTCAGTTACTGCAGCTGTATTTCTCAGAGCATAAGCAAGATGAGGAGTACCACCACCACAGTTTGATCAATACATTTCCACTGTTTTTCCCTTGAAGCAAAAGCATCTGTGTGTCCATGACCTAATTTTTAAGCCTTCTTCTCCTACTGCATGCCTTTGCATATATTGAGGTACAAAAATAAGAACGGGGTTTATGGCTTATTCTGAGCAATGCTTCTGACGGAGATCAGTGGTATCATGCAGGCTATGCTTAACCACTTGGATATCTGATACCACTAAAAATATGATTTAAAAATACATTTAAATGCTAGCATTTCATTTATTAAGTATTGAATATCTTGGTTTGTGTAGCCTCTGCTTTTCGATGTGGCCTCGTTTTTCCTTTCTTTGTAGTTTGTTTTGCACACAAGAGGTATTTTCTTAGGAGATTTGCTCAGATTATTTCATTTTATGTCTGCCTCATATTCCCCAGCAGGAGATCTTGTTTCTGACATTCACTTCTGTCAATATTTTCATGGGGC